TCTCTCTCTCTCTCTCTCTCTCTCTCTCTCTCTCTCTATATATATATATATATATATATATATATATATATACACACACACACGTCCATCATCGTCATCGTATAACTCAACTATTTATGACATTACATCATTGGAGACAAAGTAAGAGTTTCAAACATTCGCTTGCTATAAAATATGTACAGATTCCTTTTTGACTTTTCTTTTCGATCTTTCTCTCAAAGTTTTTAAAACATGTTTGCTAAGGAAAGGTTTACACACTCTTATAAAGAATATTCGTTTGTCTCTTCAACTAATGTGGGATCTCACAATCCACCCCTTTCAGGATCTAGCGTCATCGCTGGCACACCACCCTGTATCCACCCTCCTTCAGAGCTCTACATTCTCGTTGGCACTTCACCCAATGTCTGGCTCTAATACCATTTGTAACAACCTAAACCCACTGCTAACGGATGTTCTCTTTGAAGTTTTCTTTTCGTGTTTTTCCTTGAAGTTTTAAAAACGTGATTGCTAGAGAGAGATTTTCGCACTCTTATAACAAATAGTTCGTTCCCTTTATCCAACCAATGTGGAATCTCTCATTAAAGCCTAAAAATTTAGGCGGATGAGCATGGTATGATTACACTGAGTTAATAAATATTTAGGCAAATAAAAAAATTATAAGAATCTTGTTTGTTTAGTAAAAGAATTAGATAAATAAATAAAAAATGGAATGCTTAAAAGTAATAACAAATTATAATTGAAAATTGCATAGTTCATGATTATGTGCATTGTATTGTAAGCATCCCCAATCTCAACTGCCCAGTCTACTTTTTATTATTGAATTAATTAATTAATTATATATATATATATTTATTTATGATTAAATAATGTATTAGATATGTTATAATCACAATAAAGTCATTATGGGAGAATGAGATCGTGGTCCATATTAACTTGTGTTTCTATAAGTTTATAAGATCTCAAGGTAGTATATTGAATATAATAATAATAATAATAAATTAATTAAAAAGATTTTATGATTTTAACATTAAAAAAAATATGAAATTATGTATTATATGCAAAAGGCATTAATATTCCTGGAAATGTCCTACAACCACTCCCATAAAGGCAAACCCCACATGCCTTATTATAACCTTTTTTAATTTTTCGTATTAATTTTATATCATCTGCCAAAAGCCAAAAGGTGTTTGGGTCACACATTGCCCGATTATTATATAATATTTAATGTGCTAAATCATTAAAGCTTATGGCATAATTAAAGGAATTATGAACATCAAGCATAATTTAAAAAAAAAAAAAAAAAATCTAAAATTGGCCCATGAAGTATGGGCCTTAATTGTTTGGCCCACTAGAAAGGGAAGGGGCATTGGGCTTCAATTCAACCAAATGGGCCACTAGAAATGCTCCCATCAACAATTCCAACTTAGTTAAAAATAATTAGTTTTACCACTTCTAATTAATATTCATTAATCATTTACTAACTTAAAAATAACTTAATGCCAATATTAGTTTAGTTTTTTTTTTTTTTTAGTTATAGTTAGAAAATATAATATGATAAAAGGTAAATTGTTTTACAATGGAAAAACAAGTGCAAGCCGACAAAGAACATTTCCCGTATGGAAAAAGAAAACACTCACCCAATGTTCCACAAGTTTTGATTCATAATTTTGTCCAGACAGACAAGAAAAAGACACCATCCCTCGTCTTTATTATCCACATATTACCATATGTTTTTCCCTTTTTACATCTCTTATATATATATATAAATGTACAAAACTAAATTATTAGGTTATCTTTAATTATAATATTTGTCTATACACATGCACGTTACTGAAACATATATTATTAGAAGAGCAATGATTAATGGTGGGTTAATAAAAATATATACCCAGAAAGAATTATTAATAACATTAAATAATGAGCAACATTAAGCCAATTATTGGTAATTATTAGTCTTACGTTAAAAAAAATTGAAATTATTATTTTAACCCTTGGAAGGTTATTGCACGTCAACTAAGTCCGCAGCGAAAACGTAATTTTACCGTTGTCTGTAGTCCAGGTGCGGGCCACCCAGTCAATTCTCTCATTACGCTTTATTTATCTTTTTCCTTTTTTGGAATATAATTTGGTACTACCTGCCCCACTATATACCTAGGGAAATTTTGGCTTTATTATTTGAATTATTCTCCACAAAATTAACCACATTTTAACATGTAAATATCATTATTTAACATAACCCATCATCCATATCTTAGGGCCAGGGTTAGGGGTGAGGATTGACAAGTGATTGGGTCCAAAGACGACAGATCGGTGGCTTGTTTGCGGGGCCCATTCCCAACTGTCGTCTTCCTTTCGCCAGCTCTTCTCCCTGCCCCCACTGGCATGGCACCCCATTTACATACTCTGTACAAAAGAAAAAGAAAAAGAAAAAGAAACCCTCTTCTTTCTTGCCTTTCACAACTACTCTGTTTCTGCCTTTTTTTTCACTT